CCCACAAGGCTTCAAGGCTGAAAAGGTGCTCTTTGCCAGGAAGCACGTCAGAGGGAAGAAGGTCGCCGTCGGCGTTCGAGGGACGTGGACTTCGCGAGATGCCTCTGGAGCAACTCACGGCAAGCCAGCCGTTACCAGAAAGGTCGTCATCAAGGCAAAGAAGGTCATTGTCTCGTGCGGAACACTCGAAAGCCCTCTCTTGCTCCTACGTAGCGGACTCAACAATCCCCAGATAGGCCGCAACCTTCACCTTCACCCAGGTATGACATCACCCATTTTACTTTTATTTTAAACTACCCCCTTTTGTTATATTTCTGACAAGCAGCACCACAGTTCTCATCATGTCTGCATTGTTTGACCATGAGACTCGGCCATGGGAAGGCTCCATCTTGACCTCCCTTGTCAGCGACTTTGAAAACCTCGATGGCCGCGGCCACGGCACAAAGATTGAGGCGGTCGTCATGCTTCCAAACTTCTTCCTCCCGCTGATGACATGGGATGACGGGCTCGACTACAAGGTCTTTGCTGCCAACGCTCGCCGGATGGCTGGCTTCATCAGCTTGACCCGCGATCGGGACTCCGGCAGAGTATACCCTGACCCCAACGACGGAAGATGCCGCATCGACTACACTCCTTCTGCCTTTGACCGGAAGCATCTCCTGGAAGGCATTATTGGTGCCGCAAAGATCGCCTACGTCTCCGGTGCCAAAGAGATCCGGTCTTCGTCGCGGGCTATCCCAACATTCACCCGCCCTGACCCCTCATCCGATGCAGCTGATGAAGGTGTCAACAATGCAGCATTCCAGGAATGGATCAGGAAACTTCGTACGGGCGTCCCGCTACCGACAGAACAGTCCATGTTCGCAAGTGCCCATCAAATGGGTACATGTCGCATGGGGACTTCCCCAAAGACCAGCGTCGTTGACCCCACAGGTATGGTATGGGGAACTTCCGGCCTTTACGTTGCCGATGCCTCTGTATTCCCAAGTGCCAGCGGCGTCAACCCCATGGTCACGAATATGGCCATCACAGACATCACAAGCCGTAAGCTTGCCGATACCATGAAACAAGAGGATACAGCTGCCCTCAAATCACGGCTGTAAAGATTGACGCGGTGGTTGCCCTGTCACTTTCTTCTTTCTTCACCTATATACTAGGTAGCTCTTTTGGAAGCAAAAACTACCCTTACCTTGGCTTACTGTAAGCCTCGAACTTGAAACTCTGTAAATGACAATCCGTGTGCCTGGTTCGTTCTATCTATACTATACGTTATTCCTAGGAAATACCACATCTCTCTTCTATGATCAAATATGCCGTATTTATTCTCACAATACTCGCGGCAGTTATAACATCTGGAATCTTGTTTTGTGCTCTGGCTTGCCGGGCATCCCATCCCTGAGATACGTCTATCACTCGAAGAGAATATCTAATCAGACCTTGTGTAAAAACTTGAAGCGTCCATCTTGATAGATATGCTTCACTAACTGCTCTAAATGCTGGATGTACCATAGTTGTAGCAAACAAGGTGGGTGATGCCAGAAGACAGAATACTATATACATATGGGTCTATTTGCGCCAAAGGAAAAGGGAAGAATGCACCAAATTGACCAAATGCAGCAAACACATGTATGAATGAAGGAAGAAAAACCTAGGAAGAGGAAGAAGAGAAGCGAACATTCTGCGCTCTTGATCAACATGGCCTTTTTTGTTGATCTGGTTTTGTAGCTGCGTCTTCCCTTGTTTTTGGGTGTCTTTCAGCATTCGCTGGATGTAAATGGTCAAAAGGTTGGTGATATAAGGGGAGCCCGAATCGAAGAAAGAGTCAACGTTTTGGAGTATCAAATAGTTATTATTGACTATCCGGTTTGAATGCTTGTTTTTGGCGTTTTGTTACCAGAAGAAGCGAAGTGGTTAACTGTCTATTGAATACAAACACTTGCGTTAGAATGACACAGTTGAAGGCCGAGGACCTGGGTAGGGAAGATGTCAAGAAACTGGCTCAGGTCTTGTTCCTTGACATCAACAGGCTGAGCGAGCGAGAGGCTGCTGCTAACTTAATCAACGAGCTGCCTTCTTACCTTCGTCGATCACGGATTCTCTCCCTGATGGTGGACAAGCTGAACATCATACGAGAGCCTTCGAAGTCCGCATGCTTCACCCACAAGACGCTTAATAGAGAAATAATTCATGCGCTTTGCGGATTCATACGGGCAGAAGTAGGTGATGGCCTTAACGGACTGGTATCAAGGCAGACAAAGCTGTCGATTGAGCAGAGACGCATGCTACACAACCTCCGTACCGTGAACGGGCTGTGGATGACGCGGGAGGCCGTGGAGAGGAAGTACCTCATTAGACCATCTTTCACATGGTATTACCAGAGCGATGGATGCGAGGCATGCATGGTCGGCCGCTTTGCGAGAGACCGGTCTGCGTTGACGGATATGCGGACACTGCTGCTCAGCCGGATAGGGAGGCACAGAAGCAGGGGCCTACCGCCACTCATGCGGTGGGTAGAAGAGCTGATGAACTGCCACGGCCCGTCTAGCCTGGAGATGTTTGTCTTCAGCGCGGAAGATGCGCTAGAACTGAAGGCCGTGAGGAGGGATACCAGGGGCATGCTACATCATGGACAAAGCACGGCTATAGGCCAGGGATGCGGACTCAGGAGAGCAGAGAGCAACGCCACTCATCGACCGGCCAGATGGACATCTGTCAACACACGCCGAATAGCTAGGCGGCCACGATCTATGGGGGCAATTCGGCGCCCAGACAGTGCCCTCCAGCCGACTAATATCGAGAGAGACACTGAAACTGATATTATCGACTGTTATCTTAGCCGGACCCTGGTCAATGTAAATTCAGAACAACCACCTGCAGGACGACGGCCAGAAACTGCAGCTCCTGCCCCTGAGCCCAAGAAAAAGCCGCAGCCAGCAGAGCGAGCGCGAGGGCCAGAGCCAGAGCCCGAGAAAAGGTATAGAATCGAGAGGGCCGAGCGGCATCATTCAACCAGCAGCAAGCCAATTAAGAGGAGCGAACCCCTAAAGACAACGATGAGAACATGCTCCGAGGCAAGACGAAACTCTCAAATCCATCCATCGCGGTCATTGACCATTCCCAACTCACACGCTAGAACTGGACATGAACATCCCTCGAGGCTGAGCCAGTGTGTGTATCGCATTGGAAGCAGCAATGACAAAGTGAACCAGAATGTGAATGTTAGCAGGCCAGTACATCAGGATAGAAAGCATGGCACCACCTTGACTCGCTCACAAACTACCAAGACGAGCAAGGAGCAAGCAGCCGAGTATCGATCACTGCTTGGAGAAATGCACCGGCCTTCCTGCTATTCGCCGTCCAACTACAGTCGAGCAACACTGGTAGAGGGCAATGCCGCTTTGAATGCACGGCCAGAGGAGAAGAGACCGGTGTCTGAGGCAACGACTCACTGGAGCATGTTTGGCGGAGGCGATGATATCTTCCCGCCTATTCAGCCTATTCCCCCACTGAGAATTCGAAAGGAGAAGAGAAAGTTGACAGAGTATGAATCCTCAGAACGAAAACAAGAAAAGCTGGAAAGAAAGTGAGCGCATGAGAGAGATAAGACAAGTTGTGATTCTTGAATATTCAGGGGTGCTATAACGGTGAGTTTTTCTGTAGCGATCAACGCAGCTGTTAATACAAAGTTGGAGAATGTGTTCAAGTTTAGGGCCGCTCCAAAGGTAGAATGTACATATTAAACTTGTAAGTGGGCATGTACGAGCATAAGGGAACAGAAATATGGGTGAATTAAGGATAGAGTTGAAAGAGAGGAAACAAGGGAGGAAGAGGAGACAAGGAAGAAGCCTCCACCCACAATTCATCACCGTATCATTCATACAAAGGAAGAGAAGAGTAGTAATAAGTGGAATAAAAGGGGGAGATACCCAATCAAGGGAACAAAAGCAGGGGGCCTATGCTTCTGGGGTATGAAAAAGGAAGTGAAAGTGGAAGAAAGAATCGACAGGCTTAAAATTAGAAAAGAGTATAAGGACCTAGCGGCTAGGTGGAAGAAGGGGGGTCAAGGTAGCATTAATGAAGCGTTATTATAAAAGGATATATTAAAGGGCACCAGTCGTGGAGGAAGTAACGGGTTTATTTATGCTGGATGCTGCCACTCAGACGATGGGTCAGACCCTTGAGCGAATCTGACTGGGGAGAAAAGGAATTGGTGGTTTTGCGGACACTCCGCTTCAGTAAAGAACGAGTAGATGCGTCATCGTTGTCCCGCGAAGCCACAACGGGAGCTTCTGGCTGTGGCGTCTGTTTTTGCTCCTGTACATCATCACTCTGACAGCAACTGGCCAAATCCATGTCTACCATTTTCTGCGCCGCGGTCCGGGACCGTTCGTATCGCAGTGTGACGTCACCCTTCCAGCGGGTATTGAGTAAGCGATCCCAGAAAGTGAAGAATGGTTGGCTGAAGTTTGACTTAATGCCCCAGCTCTGGTGGTGGATGTCGTGGTAAGCCGCGTTGTTTCCAGTAACATGCTGAAGCGGGTCCCAGGGGAAGGCATAGCCGCAATGGTCGTCAACAGTCTTGAGTGTTGAGCAGGTGAAGAACCACATTCCCTGCCGAGTGGTCATTCCGCAGGTGAGGTATGCAAGACCAGTGCCGGCTGTGTCGAGAAGGAAGCCCTCAAACGGGTGGTTATACAAAGCACCAAAGGCATATGGTACGTATAGTCTATGATGCCTAGAGTGAAACGTAGCTGTCTCATATGTCAGAACGAGCATGGGAATAATGAGAAACTGATAACTGAGAAAGAAAAAAAAACCTACTGTATAACCATTTATTCATGTGCATAGCACGGTGAAGGAAGTACTGCCAGGTGTCGACGAAGGTGATAGCATATACGAACTGGAGTGTGGGGATGAGGTAGTAGTATATAGCGTAGCCAACAGCCCATTCCCAGGCCGCAAAGGCTGGAGCCGTGGCCGTTTCTCCCGATGGCAAGGTGACCACCTGATTCAGGAACGGGTAGTGACCCCCTGACACGATAGCAGCAAGAATGGGATGGCCCGAGAGCTTGGCCGCAAGGCCCACGGCGTCAACTCCCAGCAGCGTCATAAGTTGGGGCACAGCACGCTGAGCGATGCGGACACGGGTGGCCCAGACGGCAACATCATACTCTTCCCTGCCATTGAACTCTGGCTGGTCGAAGAATATGAGCAAGATGCCGAAGAGGGTCTGGATAATCTGCTGTAGAATGACGTCTCGTACCACCTCCCAGCGGCTGACATGGTTTCTCTTCAGGATCTCCGCGGGTGTATGAAGTCGGTACTGTGGAAAGTAGTCGTTCACGTCTATCCAGTGGAATATCATGGACAGCGCCCAGTAGGCGATTATAGGGAGAATGAGGATTGTGACATTATCCGGAATAGGGGCGATGAGCGGCTGGCGGGGAGTAAGGGTGTAGGACGGGAGCGGCGGAAGCTCAGCGGTAGAAGCGTTGAACATGGCGGGCAGGCCAGAAGGATGATAAGAGCTTTAAAGGGGAAGACTGGACACTCTTGGGGGTCTGGTCTCTTAAAGCCGCCTGTCACTCGGGATTGACACTATATCAGACGATAGAGGGTGCTAGGCCCATGGGATCGAATCGAGGTGTGCAGATAGAACTGGACGAGGTCGGGGAAAACTAAGGTCATGTGCGGCTAGAGGCTGCTCGGAAGGCTAAAGGAGAGAATCGAGCGACATGCAATCGACAAAAGCGCTGGACGTTGCCTTTTGGGGTTCAAGATATCAAAGATTTGAAAGTCGCAGTCGGCGTCGAAGTCGAAGTGCAGTCAAAGTCGGATGTTTTTTTTTCTCCTTTTTTTGGCCAGAACAGGTGATTATCACGTGGATGACGTCACGTGGTGGCTGGATATAAAAGTTTGTTTTGCTTTTATCTTCGACGTCGAGTTTTGTAGTTATTAATATTATCATTATTATTGAGTACTAGCTGTTGGGTTACATATTAAAGACACTGTTAACGCCGTCCACTCTGAGGCTATCAGTATCTACTCCGTACCTCTACGGTAAATCAGGAGATTATTAGGTGCAAAGCTCCAAGTGTTCCTTGTGAAGCAAATCCTTAGATAAATCTAACCCATATCCATTGACTATGAAGACGGGGCTGAATACATTGCATAGGGATAGTATACCCCATAATTCCCTAGTGCCCTGATTAAAGGAGATGGAACAGCTTTAGCTCTTTATCCATCACTCAGATGCATGACCTGCTCGTCATATCTGTCACCCTCCACTGGATGTTGAGCGATGATAAGGTTGATCTCTTCCAGATTTGCTTCGTCCAGACTCAGCTCAGTGGTATTTTCAAGCACTCTCTCGCTCTTGGTTGAGCCTGGGATAGGAACTATGGCGACGTTGAATTTCTTCTCCAGAGATAGAACCCAAGATATTGCTATTTGCGGCAAGGTCACCTCTTCCCGGCCGGCGATGCCCTCGAGCGCTTTGACAAGTTTCATGTTATTGTCAATCTTGCCTGACTGGAAGCGTGGGAATGCCTTTCGTCTATCTCCATCTGGCAAGTCGTCGGGAGACTGGATCTTACCGGTCAAGAATCCACGGCCCAGAGGCGAGTAGGCGATGACGGGGATGTTGAACTCATTGCATGCGTCAAGGATGCCGTTGTTTATTGGGCCTGTACTCCAGAGACTTAGCTCTATCTCCACCGCAGCGATTGGAGCTACTTTAGCGGCCCGTCGAATGGTCTCAGCCCGAACCTCAGACAGGCCGATACCCCCAATGAGACCCTCATCCCGCATCTTTAGCAAGGCCGCCATCGTCTCTTCGATCGGGGTGTTCTTGTCCACGCGGGAACACTCAAAGATGTCTATCTTTTTTGTATTTCCCAGCAGTCGTACACAGTTCTCCACACTTGGTCGGACCCCCTTCTCTGTCCCGTCGAAGGTGTGGCCTTTGCCCATCCCGCCTTTGATGCTTAGCACAACCTTGTCTGCGTCCTCGGGGTACTTGCTAAAATACGCTTTGAGCAGCTGCAGCGAGTTTGCGTCTGGGGGACCGTAGTGTTCGCCACCGTTCCAGAAGTTGGCTCCTTGCTCAAGAGCTGTCTTCATGACCTTGAATGCGTCCTCATACTTCGTCGGGTTGGGCGTCCATGTAAAACCTATTCCCATAGTTATTAGTCATTAAACCTATCAACTTGACAAGCAATACGTTATATACTAACCCATCAACCCGTAGCCGATCTTCCCCACTGGCTTGCCCAGTATTGTTGTCATCTTTAACTGTAAAATACTATAAAAAAGCTGGCCACTACTTTCCAATATTGGCAGTAATAGGGATTTCCGTCGCCAGCAAACCCGTGAAATGCAGACGTTGTAGATGTTACACCTATCTTCTCACGTTGGACAACACATGTTGTTTCAGTTTCTCGCCTTTTCTACTTTGGTTCCCTACGTCATTTGACTACTTTTCTGCTGAAGTTACTACTTGCCACCGAAAGCCGCGAGATACCCAACGACGATACACACATCAAATGGGCATTTGGCGTGGAAAGATGTTCAAGAATAAAATGTTAGTTATTCGTTACGTCATCAGTGCCTAGATATGTACGGAAAAACTTGTGGTAAGAATGAAAAAAAAAATAGGTATGAGGTGAGAAGGACTCTCTGGCCCAGAGATCACCTGAAAAAATGAAGGTATCCAGCGAGATATGGACGGCTATTGGGTAATGGAAAAAATATAGGTAGTGCAGGTGCAAGGTAGAATTGTAAACAGAGAAATAATGAAATAGAGAATTAAAAAACTCATGACGCTATATCTTGTGCCCTAATTCGACATCTTCATGGGTGGGCGAATGGGTATCTGAAAACTCCTCGGTAAAGCCGGATACACGGCGCTCCCTTGGCCGTGACTCGGTATTATCAGACACTACGACGTTGTCAAGGGTTGCTGGTACCCCTATGCTAGAGAAGGATGATCCATGACGGCCATGTGTTGGTCGAGCCGGATGGTGCCGTTCTTGTTGGTTCTCCGGAGATGGTGAGGCTGCAGGGGATATAGGACTAATGAACGATGGTGTCTCGCTTGGGTGCCGAGCAGTAACTGATGTATCGTTAAATGGTGTAGGGAGCTCTGATGGGCTCATGACGGTACCAGCTATAAAGAATGTCAGTTGAAGTGTTTTTGGTGACTATCATAATAATATAAATTAAAATGAAATGAAATGGCTTACCATGCATCTCGTGAATTGGAGAGCTGCCGGCTTCTGGGGCGTTGATATCAGAGTAAACAATGGTGGAGGGAGGATGGTTGTTGGGTGCTACAACCGAGTCAATTCCCGAGTCCGAGTATATGCCCGTCGATGCGTGCTTGTCGTTAATGCCAATCTCGGTGGAAGTAGTGGTCATATCTGGCTTGTGCGATGGCTGTCCCATTCCATACATCCATCCTAGAATGCGTCTCCTAGCCACCTCACTAGTTCCTCCAATGCTAGGGGCATATCGTTTCTCTCTGCGTCGGCGTAGGATCAACCATATCACTGCCAGGGCAGTGATGAATATAAGGCCTAGGACAACACCTAGAACTGCCCCAAGCCATCGAGGAATGCCGCCGCTTCCCCCTTTATCTTCCCCAGGAGGATTGGTTGTACCCGGTGCAGACTGAGTTTCCTTAGCAGGTTCAAATGGATACCATTTTTGAATGGTTTTGGTATATTTCTTGCTGAAAATTTCGCCAAGCTTATCGTCATCCCACTTATCTGGTTTACTTTTGGTAGCACCCCCTTTTCCACTGTTTCAAGAGATAATAACTATTAGTACAGATTTCCAGAAAAGGTGAAACAGGAATGGACAGGTTTCCTTACGTTCCGCCAATCTTCTTGGTGATGACTTCTGGAACAATATACTCGCTCCACTCCCTTGGGTCATACTTATCCTTGAACTTCAGTTCGTTCAAGTTAAAGACTCGTACAAAAGGTCCCGTTAGACAAGCTGTTGGAGATGAATATTCGCCACCAATCACGAACATTTGATCTGGATACGGTTTGACACACTTGTGGGCGCGGCGGCCCGTGTTGCTTTCTCCCGTATGTACTTTTGTCCAGGTAAACGAAGGAATGGAAAGGACATATACATCATCATACGGCCTAACGGTACGTTCAGTGCCATTGTATCCACCGTAGATATAGATGTTGAATGAGCTTCGGTCTTCTGCTTCGCCTACGACCGAGCAGAATGAATTCGAGGCTGGTGGTATATCGCCTTCAGTCTTTTGCGAGTACCTTTTTAGCTTCAAGTCAGTGACTACTCTAGCTTTTGCTAGGAAATGATTTAGATGAGTTACCATTCTCCAGTGCCAACATCATACAAGCTAACCGTTTCCATAAAAGCGGGATCTTTCTTAGCCTGACAAGATCGATTAATGGTTGAGAAATATTATACGAAGGACCAGGCAAAGGCTTACATTTTCCTCTTTCTCTTGCTGAGATAGCGGCGGAGAGGGTATAGCTTCCGGATTGGTAACGCCGCCTATCACGACCAAGACGCCATCAGAAACTGGAAGCCAAACCAACTCCGCACTTGATCGTCCAGTAACACCTGTAAGATTGTCACTGGCAAATTTTGGCTCATCGAATTTGGATAAGTCGGTAGAGATAAGAGAGTTAGCTGTCATATCTGGCTTGTTTGTCAGGTCTATAACGTCTCCGTTCTCTCGTTGACGTCCACTGAAGTAGTATCCCTTGTTTTCGCTTGGAACAGACACACCCGCACCATGAGTGATATAACGGGTGACATCTTCACGGATTTGAGGCAGGAAGGCGCCAGGCTTGAAAGCTGGTTTAAAAGGGCCATACTGATAGGCGTTGTATCCATAGAGGGACGAGTTTGTGGGAGTTTTGAGTGGCTTAGGAGTGATACCACTACCATAGTCTCTTCGTTAAAATGCGAAATCGGGATTTATAGCAAGGGAGAAGGAGCAAGTACCCATAAGTAAGAAGCGTGGAGTTGTTGTAAAACATCGTTCCATCAACGTAGAGAGGTGCAGTAAGACTTGCGCCTCCTCCAGCAAGCCGCGGTATCCTGCCAAGCAGGTCGGTGAAATTGGTCTTCATATCAAAAGAGGAGTTGAACGACAGTGTGAACATGTCATCCAACTCGGAGCCTACATCCTGAATTAGCCAGTCCGTGACAGGAAATGTGATCCATTCAATGATAAGAATTCCCTACCAGCTCTGTCTAGGATCGGTCTGCCATCTTGGAAATTGCTATATGTCGTGCCTGTCAGGGAAACTGTAACGACCAAATGGTACTGTTAAAGAAGCTTACCGCTGCCATGTCAGGGAGCCTCCGTCAAGGTACACTGTGTCACGAATAACACCAGCTGTAGATAGCAGGTGTCAGCAGCATTCTGGTAGATCCGAGTGAGCCACCGCCAATGAGTACATACCTCTGAACCGATACCAGTTACAAATCTCGACATTAGTCTGGACTTTATCTCCCTGGCAGTGGACCATGGGGATAAAGGCCAGTCCAAGGCCTACAATGGCCTTGAATGTCTTCATCTCTGTGATCGCTTAGAGTGAAATAGATGGTTGAAAGGGTTAAAGGCCAGTCAAAGAGGCTGAATTGCCGCTTGCTGTTCACTCGAGATTCGAGCGATTAGGTAGTGATGTGATATGCAGGTCAGAACACTTTACCAGCCTAGCAGAATCTCGCTTCCATGGCTAGTTTCTAGACTAATCTGCGCTTGAAGTGATGGTATCTGCGCTTGTTAAACGATGGTGCCGCTACAGACGAAAGATGAAGTTGAATCGCTGCACCTTGTCCTCCTGATGAGTGAAGGAAATGCCTGGTGGCTGGAGCGTGTCAACCAGCACGACGCCTGACTGAACGAGATGGAGAATTTTCTACTCCGTAACTTATTCGGCGAAGAAGGTCCTGCGTACGGAATACAGGAGTAGGTTTTGTGCCAGAATAGGGCTGATATCAATCTGAGATCTTACAGTGGGAAAAAAACAACTCTAATTTCTCCTCACAAGTCACAGAATCGTGGGGAAGGGGAAGGGAACAAAAAGTAAAGAAGAAAAGTTGAACAGAAGAATCATCAGCTAGTAGTCAGTAATGATAAAGAGAGTGGTGGATTGGTGGCAGTGGCCGTTTGGGCGGGACTAAAGCTGGAAGAGCGCCTCCCCCGACTATCCCAGCTGAAAGGTCGGGTTGATAACGCAGGAATCAGACAAGACAAGAAGAGAGAAAAGGGAAAAGCTAAAAAAGCCGCAAGGAAAATGGCAAAAGCCACAAGGGCCAGGGCGTTAACCGTTGGTCATGAAGGAAGCTGGCGGTGATAGGCCGTATCCATCAGTAGGTTCATCTATTGACATGCATCCCAAGTGCTGCAGGATGCGTTGAGACACGACCATACAGGTTGCCGGGTCGCAAGTACCTTTCCGCCTCTACAAGTTGAGATAACTATGCTTGGGCTGGAACTCTAGAGGTGATCTCACTGGTTAGCCTGTGAACCGACTACTCCATACTCTGTACTCGTCCACAGTATTCTCGCTGGGAGAAAATCCTTCGACTTCGCTCTCATATAAAAAGATGACATATATATAGGATGGTGGGCAATTACGTCAAATGGCTTTTTTGCGGGCCTCAGTAGTTACGGAGTATGCTGAGGACTCTCAGAGAAACCAGTTTGTCCCCTCCATCTAGCCAGGGGGAAGAGGTGCCATATCGAGGACAGAGTACGAAGAGGTAGTCACTCCACTAACTCCTTGCATGATTCCTCGCTGGCCGACGCCATCCCATCCTGGATGTGGAAAATGACAGCCTGCCCTCTATTGTCTTTTCCTTTTGACCATGCCGCTTGTTTGTTCCCATGGCTGGCCCCTAAAGCTAGGTTGCTTTTTCATCCTGCGTGTCTAACATGGAGACTTGCAGGGGGTCCCTGGCGCCGTCGATTTTAGCGCACCATATTTTTCAAGGTGGTTGGACAGCCAAGAATTGCTGTGCAAGGGTAATTTTCTCCATTGAAAGATTCTCACTCTGTACGGAGTACCATTTCTTCTGTCCAGTTTCTCGACTCGTTGTTCTCTCCCTTCTTTGTTGCGTTGGCTGGTTGGACAGACACCATGAGAAATCGTCCGGATGCGGCCATGGTGAAGAAGTGATGGCCAACACTAGTTTTAAGGGGCGTTTATTCAGCCCATTTGCGCATTAACTATCACTCCGTGCATCTCGTCCCAGCCGGTCGGCCCGTCGATTCAAGTCCCTAGACAGGAATTTACCACTACGGAGTACTCTGTCTGCCCTGGGAGAAAAGAATGGCTGGGAGCTGGGAGGTAATGCAACATTGAGCGGCAACATCGTATTATGTCTTCGGATACATGGTTGCGGTGGATGCAGGCAAGGGAGAACTGACTAGGTACGGAGTAGTTCTTTACTCGGGGTCGATATTCGATGCATGATGTTTTCTCGCTGCGGGGAAGAGTGCCTAGGGTAGTTTGCACCTGTAGGACTCTACAGAGTACATGAGACACCTGGTTCATCGCTTTTGTATGGAGTATGGATTGTCCGCTTCGGATGTAGGTACGGATAATGGCTTATGGAAGAGCTTCATGGGTTAGGCAAGCCAAGTCTGCAGGGCGTTTTCACGGTTATAGGTAGTTTTCCAAACGGATCTAACCGTGCAATCCACGAAGTGAACGCCATCCATATATTCCACCATTGGCGTTTATTTCAGTAGTCTAAGAGTGCCAACGCTCTTCAAATTTAGGTATGGCGAAGAGTCAGGTCCATTGCAACTCCCGTGGGCGGAGTGGATTGGATCAACGAAGGGGTGCTCCGTAAATGGAGTACTCGACATCTATATCGTTGAGACTAGGTGATATCCATAATATAATCACCACCTCCCATCCTATAGTTTGCCTAGTAGAGACGAGCAAGGTGCATCAACACATTGTCGTCATGACAAGGCAAGGATCTCAGCATGCCCGGGGAGGAGCGAGGTCATGCACATGCCCCAATTTCTGGACATTTTATTGCCGGAGAGCATGGGAGTGGAAACATTATCCAATCTAGTAAAAAAGTATGTAACTAATCTGTACTGAGGGGCTCACCCAGGGTATACTCCTAGCTCAGGAATATGTATGAACGGAGGGGCTAGCAAGGATTGGACGAAAAGCTCGGAAGGCCCGCATCCGCATACTTAGGGTCTCCGGTATAGAGTGAGTGGGAGATACCGTAAATACCATGTCATCCGCAGAGCAAACCCAGGCAGGATTAACAACAAGACGCTGACGTAGTAACATTGAGAGGCTGAGTTGAGACTTGGGTGCATTTTGAAATTCTCCGTACTACCCATTTTCTGTTCACTGGTGCCAACGGAGTAAGTAGTCAGCCTCGTTGGCAGTGACCAATAGTGGATCAAACGATCAACCCAAGCACACTTTCCACCTGGAAGCCTCGCGGAGAGAGGCTCGTACGTTGCCTTGGATACGACACACTCTGAGTGTCTTCCCATCCCTGGACCCCGGCCAACCTTGAAGGAAGCTGCTTGTCATACCTGCTTGCTAGACCTGCATGACTGGCTTCAGAGGGCATCATCTTCAGTATACCCAGGCCAACTCCTCCCCACTATCTATCATTTTGTGCCTGGATTAATCCAGGGATACTCTGGTTCACGACCTTGGAAGGGAACAGTAGTCCCATGCATGTCCGTCTTCTACCTTCTTCCGCCGATGCACGCCGAGTCAAATTACTAGCGTGAGTTGACCCTCTGCAAGAAAACGTCTATCCCTGTCCGCGGAATTTAGGCCCGGCCCAAAGCGCATCAAGAGTGATCACTGGCTTAAGCGATTTTTTCAAAGTCTTTTTTCTTGGTCCGGGTTAATTGTTGACTGGTGGATAATGATGGACGGGCTAACCATAATGCACGGCCTCTGGAGTCAATGACTTTCGTGATCCCACTTTGATACTGCCTAGCAGTTATTAATAGAGACACTTTGATATATGTGGGCAGCTTCGTCCAATACGAGAAGATAACATCATTATACTCCATACTCCGTTCTGAATCAACTGTAAAATGAAACGTGGAGTACACATTTATGTATGTACATTGAGTTCAGGAGCGATAGAGTGACCAGTCAGCAAGATGGAGAGAAACTTAACGAAAGATCAAGCCTAGATAATGGCGGGCTAGTTAGTTCATATTCACATCAGTGGCGGGCAATTAGTTAAGTAAGTGCGGAAGGGAAACCCACGAAGGATTTGCTGGGTTACTATAGATTAAGGGATAACGGTATGTTTGATTGTCAAGAAAGACACAGACAAAGTCGAGTGAAGCGACTGAGTACCTTCAGTGATGCAGCACGGCTATTCTATTATGACTGAATGCATAATTTGTATGAACGCGACGATTTATGCACAACAGTCGCCTGAAATTTCTTGTCCTTTCTCGGTCGGCGGTTGACGCTGGATGGAGGAGGACGGGCGGGTTGTGTGATTGTATTTGATAAAAACATCCTTAATTTCTGTATGGAGCGGGCGGGACGAACAAGCTGCAAAAATGTCTCTGACTACTGTCTGGTTTTCTCTCCGTCTGATGAGTCCGCAGATAATGACGGGGACTCTGCCTCTGCTTTGTTTTCTAGTCCAGCCGGGCTGAGCTTGACTTTCTCCTGGCGAGGGTGGTGTGGCGGCGTGCGAGTAACAGTCGAAGATACGAACGAGCATTGGCCAAAGGCCCCATATTTGGCTTCTCCGACTCTTTGTATACACCCCATAGTTATGGGTTCTGTAGTTCAAGCAGGGCGTTGAAGCAGGTACAACAAGACTGTCGCTCGGTAACTGGTTGGGTTTTCTCCGGTGAGACATGCGCCTTTCTTCGCCTGCGTGAAGATATCCTTTCTGGGCATGTATTACTTGCTCGTGCATGGGAATGCCCTGCCAATAGTTAACGAATATCGTATCGTGTTATGATCGATGTGCTTCTGGGGAGCCATCGTGGTGGCAGAACTGGAGTACAAAGAGTTGGACGCCGGCAGGCCATGCATGCAGACAACTGCGAGAAGCGTCTTCCAGGCGAATCTGAGACAGGGCTGGGGTTATTATCCGGCCTCCAGGTGGGACTCGAGTACGTAACTTAACATCGAGCATCGACGCAGCTAGCAGCGCGACTCTTCGCTGTCTGCTCTTCTGGATGTCGTTGAACTGGGGTAAAAGTCGACGTCGTCGATGGCCGAAAACGGGCGCTGGCGGTCATGTGCCATGCGGCTCTGTCCACTCCGTTACCTAGGTACCTAGGTAGGTAGTTAACTAGTTGGCTCACCAGTTGGTTGATCAGTTAGGCAACTGGACTATCAAAACGACGTCAACGTCAGTCTTCAGCCTCCGCCAACTACCGACGGACTACGGACTACAACTCTTCATTTGCCCTGTCACTAGAGAGGGAGAAAAGAGGCTTCGATTGCCCTGTGTGACAATGTTGCTCGAGACCTGTCGGGCGTGTTCCGCCATCCCACATGCAGTGTTCCCTCCAGAGGCCACCGTCAGCGAGCTCTATACGTACCGCTGCTATTAATAAAGACGCAATGCCGTATCAAACAGCGAAAGATTACAAGTTACCACACTAACTACCAAAGCGGCGCCCAGGATCATCTCTGCATGCTTTCCAACTTGCCGACCTCCTGTATTCTCCATCCCGGTCAATAGAACTCGCATATACCCTTGTCCGTACGGTTAACCATTTTGAGACTAGGCGAGAAAACCGCATCCTGCATCAATCCTGCATCCCCATTCCAAAAGAGGGAAGAAAAGTTCGGACTGATCAACTAGTTCGGCCTGTTACTACTGGGCCTCGAGTGAAGGCCTGCAGCGGGTGCAAGCCTGCAAGAGCCATGTCGGGTTTCTTTCTTCACAAGCATATTCTTCTCATTTCTTTTTCCTCTTCCTCTCACCATTCTTTTTCTTTCTTTCCTGTCGATTTCGTCTGAAAAAAGGTGCGAAATCCAAAGTAAAAAAGGAATTAGAAAAAGAATGTTATACCATGCAGCCTGAGTGCGGGAGTGACGTTGCATCCAGCCGTTTTTCTTTCAGCTTTGATTGGGGGAGGCCTTGACTCTTCCACAGCAAAGATCAAAAGGCAAGATGGTGGCGGCGGAGCAGCTAGAGAGAGGCTGCAGTGTTGGCTTGTTGGCCTTAGATCCTTCGTGCTGATATGGTTCTCCCGTATAACTTTCTCCCCCTCATGCTGACAGGACGACCCGAAGCTCCTCCCGCTGTTCTGGTTCTGTGGTGCCAGTATGGAGCGCACCTGGACCTCTCATACGCAGGCACTTGTTGACCTTGCTCTTTTCTTTTTTTACCTTCCTTGAGCATTCTCTTCTCGATATTTATTTGCTGGCCATATTATCGACAAGGGGCCCCTACCTCCCCCGAGCGAGCTCTGCCTGGGTCACGATTTCTGACCTTCTTATCTTCTCCTGTTGTCGCATGTCTTCTCTCCCTTTCTCTCTCTTCCTTCTCCCTCGCGCGGCTTTTGTTTTAACTCTCTATCCAGCTAGTTATAGGGGCTACGAGAGTAGTGGTCTCTAAGCTTTCAATTGCTTAGCCGTGTGGTCGTTCTACTGTCTATCACTGAATACCCACCACAATGAGGTTGACCACATCCTTTCTGCTATGGGCGGCCACATCAGTGCTCCAGGCTGATGCCACCCAGACTTACCGCAGCCCAACCGGTCCTGATCCCTATAGAGCATACCCTCCACAGTACACTACTTCCTACACTACCATCACCTCAACCATCCATAGCTGCCCGCCTCGGACAACGACCGTTTTCACTTCTTCTCCTCCTGATGACGGGTGCAAGTACCCAGGGTGTCCAAACAAGCCACCGACACCCGGTAATGATGTCAGCTGTCAGGTAAGAATACTCTCTAACCATTGGAGTGCCAATGGCCATTTCACTTTTCCCTAGCCCGTTGTAACAAGCCTAACGAACATGAAATAGATATACTGCTGGGCAAAGGGGTGTTCATTATGCAAAAATGACACCTGTCCCGACACTGGGGGCCTCTATAAACGCCGTGAGGCGTTGAAGAGTTTCTTCCCTCGCGACACTGAGAATACCAAAGGCGGCAATTTCCACCCGGAAACGACTTGCTGCTGCTGTTGTGAGACTGGAGGCGGGAAACATACAGTCACTGTTACCAAAACGAAGACCGAGACCGAGACCAAAACTAAGACCGAGACTGCCAGTATCACCAAGATTATCACTGACTATGTCACCAGGACCGTCTTGGTCCCGACGACGGTCTTCAACAAAACTACCATCATTGACCCCACAACAGTGCCAACGACCGTTCCCACGACTATACCTACCACTGTTTATAACGAGACCACCATCCACGATTCTACAACCATCTCGACAACTGTTATTCAGCCCACTACGGTCTCCACCACGACCACGCTTACAACCATATTCACAACTGTGGTGCCCACGTATATAACGACAACCACTTATGGGACCGTTACGTCCGTTGTAACTGTCATGGTACCTACTACTATCACGTCAACCTACGTGTCTACAATGTACACTACCCTACCGGGTACGACTCTCACCACTTCAGTGACAGTGCCAGGGCCTACCATAACCCCTCCTCCTGTTACGCTGCCGCCGGAAACCGAGGTCATTACCTTGCCTGCATCTACCGTTACCAAAGTGACCACACTTCCAGCAAGCACCACGACCGTGACCAGCACTCTGCCTGCTAGCACGATTACCCAATCTGGAACCACAATCACACTCCCCGGAAGTACCACGGTGATAACCTCAACAATTCCCGCCTCGACAATCACTGAAACCTACACTGAGCCTGGGACGGTAAGCACAGTTACTAGCACTCCGCCACCGGAGACTCATGTAATCACCCTTCCAGCAAGCACCATAACCGTGACCAGCACTTTGCCTGCTAGCACGATTACCCAGTCCGGAACCACAATCACACTCCCCGGAAGTACCACGGTGATAACTTCAACAATTCCCGCCTCGACAATCACCCAAACCTACACTGAACCTGGGACGGTTAGCACGGAGACTCATGTGATCACCCTTCCAGCAAGCACCATAACCATGACCAGCACTCTGCCTGCTAGCACGATTACCCAGTCTGGAAGCACAATCACACTCCCCGGAAGTACAACGGTGATAACTTCAACAATTCCCGCCTCGACAATCACCCAAACCTACACTGAGTCTGGGACAGTTACCACGGATACTCAGGTAATCACTCTACCAGGTTCGACAGTCACCATGGTCACCACTCTTCCCGGGACTATCACGACGGTGACTCAAACACTACCTGCCACTACTATCACCGAGTCTGGAACTACAGTGACAATTCCCGCCAGTACCACAGTGATTACATCTACTCTGCCGGCATCGACAATAACTCAGACACTGACGGAGCCAGGCGAAGTAACTACCATCACCAAAACCAACACTGTAACTACAACAACGACAACTTTCTCCATTTCTCTCTGCCCGACCAGGGCTGCGAACCCAACGTATACTCCACCAGCGCCACTCCCATCGAATTACATTTGGGGATGTCCTCCCGGGCAACTTTGCAGACCAAAACGCACCCCTTCGGATGGACAGTGCAACTTTGAGGTTGGGCTTCCAAGTCGGAACTATGTCTGTAGCCCCGATGAGTGTATTCCTAGTCCACCAAGACACCCCCCACAGAAGTGGGCGCCTGGTAAGGTGGAGAAGTGGGTTGTTTCTCCTGGTTACTACAACCTAGACCCAAGGAAATTCGGACTTACATTCGATATTTTCTCATTTGATAACGCGACGGCGACTTCTCAAGGTTATTTCCGCCGCTCCCTGTCCGCGCTTTTCAGGCGTGATCCTGAAATTGCGGCGAGCGAATGTTTTGATGAGTGTAATGCAGCTACAACTGAGGGAGAGGCTGTTGGAGCAGATCCTGAGTTGTGCGAGGCAGGCTCACTGTTTAAGAAGCTTGTTGGGGAGTGCCAAAAATGTACCAACGAAAGATCTAATGGTACATTCTCAGACTTTGACCATGTTCTCCTCCCGGATTTCCAGCAATGGCTCGATTACTGTGAATCCATTCCTATCCCCACTGGCCCTACAACTATGCCTGAGCCTGGGATGACTTCTACTCACGAACCATCGTCTACTCCTTCTACGGCCACTAGCTCTATGACTTCTATGACAACACCCACTACATCAGAGTCATCTTCTACCCCAACAGCATCTTCTTCAACTATAACATCGAGTGAGACTTCCACTACTAAGTCAAGTACGTCCCATTCTAGTGAATCATCAACGCAGTCATCGTCTACGGAAACGACTGAGACCACTTCTACAGCAGATCCCACACGTACCACAGAGACTACTTCGACGGAGTCGTCAATGGAGTCAACATCTACACCCACCCATTCGAATACTGAAAGCGAGCCGGAATCAACCACGACGCGCCACCCGTCTTCGACAGGTAGTAGTTCCACTACCACTCGCGGCGGCGGAGGAGGTAGCTCTTCTGATCCCTCCCAAGGTCCCGAGCCCACGAGTATGGGTACGCCGACGACTACCGGCGGCGGCTCCATCCCTAGCTCAGGATCCAGCATGCCACCTTCTTCCACGGACCCCGTCCCATTCCCTGGAGGTGCAGGATCTCTTTACCCTTCAGCTTGGGGTAAGGTTGTGACTTGCATTTCCAGCTTGGCATTACTCGTTGCGTTTATATAATCCGACGTGAGGCCTATGACTAACTAATACCACTACCCCTATATAATCGCCCCTGATAATCCAGGTTGCTACTCGCGTCTGCCATTTCCATTGTCGCGAGTTACTCTATTTTCTTTTTTTGTTTTACTCTTCTTTTGTACGGATTGGAACGGGTCTATGAAATTTAAATGGTTGAATGCCCTAAAACAGACAGAGTCTACGGTTATATTACTATGCCACGACACTTGGCTATCCCCTATGATTTATAAACTAATGAATTGAAGTCTTTCATATAATTGAACAATTTCTTGGTATGCCTTGAATTCTTTTGGGTAGGTGGTTTACATCCAGCTGTTGAAGTAACCAGGTTAGGTGATCGACGTGCTGACCCCAGTAATTGAATAATCTAAGTTTAATCAAAGTAACTGCAGATCGACTCATTGCTTGCAATCATTACATCTCGGTTTGAGTAATCATAGCAGGGCCTGGCAACAACATGCCGTATGTCAGGAACGAGGCCTAAGCGTGGCGACATCCACCTTTGCAAGCACAACAGAAACCGTTGCACTCTATATTGGAGTAAAACGGTCACAAGTTAGACACTAGTCCCAAGAAACGTCGAGCGCAATAGATAACTACGTGTACTTACTTCCATATCCACAGCAAGGGGTTCCGGTCGTCCCGTCGTCACATTTATTATACCTCTGTAATTAAATATGGTAAGTTCGTTGGTCCCTCCCGTCAACTGCATACTCCAGTGCATAGTCTTCTCAATCAAATCATCGATCTCCGTTTGACACCTGGTTACATCCTAGTTGCGGACGCAACCACCACAACCACAGGGCTTGCGCCTGTTGAGGTCGTTAACACCATCACGAATTTGATTAACTCCGTCTCTAATTTCCCCCAGAACATCGCTAGTTATATAGACCCCTTTAGTTGGCGGTCTCTCTATCTATATGATATGGCCACGGGCAGACTTACGTTATGTTGACTTTTCCAATTAAATTGAGACTGATTCCCAGCGGGTTAGTGTTGGAATATTCCATTAGCTACGACTCGCACTCATTTTCATTTACCCAAGGATTCCTTGGGGCATTTAAGCCTTTTTGTTCCTTGTGGCCTAACAGTAAGTCTTCTCCCTCACAAATCTATTAGAGCAGTCAGCATAGGCCCTCTTGAGTATAGAGAAAAAGCACCACATACCTAGGCTCGTAAGGCGCGAAGACAACGACAAGCAAAACACTGACGAATGCCAGTGTTATAAAAGAACGCTTGAGCTCGGGGGAGGGCAGGGAGTTTGCAGAGTCATGCTGCTGTTGCTTATGTTCATGGTGGGACAAAGCACACATGGAGAAGACATAGGATACGACAGAAGCACGATAGCCACAGAGATGAAAATGGAGTTAGAGACGCGCGACAAGACATATGTTATGTGTTGTTCCACCATTTCGACGGTTCAATGCATTAATACCGTCTCTGAACCCCCTTAAGATTGAGATAGTGGCGTTATATAGACCCCTTTAGTTAGCGGCCTCTCTATCCATATAGCTAAGGGGGAGACTTACTCTGGGTCCGATATTTTTATCCACTTTGATTCAAAACCCCAAGACTTACCTAGGTATTTAGTAGGATCCTATAAGAGCAGTTAGCATAGACCCTCTTAAGTATAGACAAAAATAGAGCGTGTACCTAGGCTCATAGGGTGAGAGTAAGAGGACAAAAAGAATACTGACAAATGTCATTATTATATATTGCAAAATGTTGGACCACAAGGGACAAAAAAGCCTAAATGCCCTAAGGAATCCTTGGGTAAGTGAGTGTGTGTCGTAGCTAATGGATATTCCAACACAAAACGTACGGGCATTTTGGGAGGGGGGTGGGTTTGGAAAATCATGCTGCTATTATAGCAGCTTGTTAGATTCATGCTGGCAGCAGACACAAGCAGGACAACAACTGACAGAGGCACGATAGCAGGGAGACGAAAATGGAGTTGAGACACGAGACGACATATGTTATGCGTTGTTGTCTAGAAAAAGAAATTTTGAAAAGGACTCGAAGGAAAAGATGTTTACTTATGTTTCTACTTTGAGGGTATAGATGCCTAGGTAGGCAGGCGCAACGCAACGCAAGGAAAACAGAAAACAAAAAAAAACACACACCAAGTAAACAACGACCTACCTTGCAGCAGCTTTAAGAAATCTACGAAACCTCGACTTCTTCTCCTTCTTTAATATATTAGAGAAGATTAAAAAATTATATAAATATATATAACATTAATTTTAAAAATTTAGTTGGCCTCTTGGGTATCCCGACTGGCCCTTTAACTAGGCAGAGTGTTATACAAAGAAAGATATGGGCTTAGTTCATGCATATAGCTCATCAGATACTGACTGCGGCTATACCATATAGATACGCCTCTTCTTGCCGAAGCAAAGAACAGCGAACATGGCCGAACAGAGAAACCTGCCTACAAAGAAAGGCCGTTTGCGGTGTTGTGGAATGTGGTGTATAGATAGGTAAATGAGATCCGATGTTGGAAAAATCCGATAGTGGTAATTAGTTAACGGATATGAATATCCCAATGATAAGTAATTGATGCATCGTATCTTAGAAATCAGCCCTATATCACACGGCATCCACCCTTGCAAGCACAGCAAAATATATTGCACTCTAATAAAACAATTATGAAGTTAGCCTTCAGGACGATATACTATCGAGACCTGTGGATACAATAACTGATGCACAGATGATGCTTACTTCCATACCCGCAACAGGGTGTGCCCATCGTCCTATCGCCACAAAGACGCCAGCTCTATGATTAAGCGAGCCAGTTAGTCTTATAAAACTGGTACGCTGAACGCAAACCTAGTTGGGTGATGAGTTGACTAGGTAACTCGCCAAAAGACTTACTCTGCTGCCTTGACCAAAGGGTTTGCAGCAAGCGTTCTCGCTCCTGGGTTGTAGAGCCATCAGAGGACCTTGTGGAGCAGGGCTGACAGGAGCAGGACTAGTGAGAGCCAGCAGCGGAAAGAGTAGGATGGTTGAAAATTGCATCTTGCGGGGAGATGCTGTTCTGGAGGTGGTGTATATATATTGTGGAGGCAAGATATGATTTCCGGGTTGAATATTCATAGCTTGTATTCGAGGTGATGAGGGTGTGCCCTTTATATCAGAAGATTTCATAGCTGTCCAGGCAGTTACGGCGTATACGGTGAGACGGGATTTCATAGAAATGCCCAAGCCTTGCTGTTTCACAGCAAGAGTTACGCCTCCTGCGAACAGAACATGCATAACAGACAGCCGCCAATGCAATTGTGTCCCACGGTCACGCCTCAAAACCGGAGAACAATGGGCCCTCATGTGAGCTACTGTAGATATTGCTCAACAATAGCTCGCAGCTGCGTTAAAAGCCCGCAGTGCAAATGGTAGTGTTCTCGAACGGCTAAACGCTCTAGTTGGGTATATGGGTATATATGTCGAATGTAGCCAGCCATGGTTCATAGGCTTAGATATCGCCACTAGGCCTTCTGAAGCTATAAATATTTAACCTCTGATAGACCATAGACCATTGTTTGCGCAGTTGCAGGTCTGTTAAAGGCATGCTGGTTCGGTTCATGTACATAGCAATCCCGGCTACACATTTGCCGCATACTTTAGCGTTTCTAGGAGCTTCTTTGTTGCCTGCAGGGTAGTTTGAGAGCAAAGGGGTAGGTATTATGCGGACAAGAAAATCAACCTGCAGCCAAGCCTGCGAGTTAGGTAACTAACTAGTTAGTTAGTTAACCAGTTAAATAACTAGGTAGTTAGTTATTTTGCTATCCGTTGCCCGCAAGGAGCTTGGACCTGGTACGAATATGGGACAGATAACACCGGCGAGATGGTTTTTCTTCACTTGAACCCTATGGTGTTGGCAGCTAACCAGAAACAGAGCCAGATGTGAAGAGAGCTGTTTTGACGTTGGTTTTTCACGCATGGGTACCTAGGTAACCAATGTTGTAACAGTCCGTATCAACGAGTACCGTTATTGACTTTCGATCCTTGTTAAAGAACATTGAAACGGTGTTATGAGCAGTGTGCATTATGAGGTAAAAATCAATATTTAGTTAATTGCTCGTCAAGAAAAAAGGTCAAGAAAAGATAAACGCCCACCAAGACCTCCGCCTTCTGCTGCCAAATCTATCATTTTTTGACCCCAGCCTGAGCTCTGACGAGACCCTGTGCATGCGGAGCTCGCTGGGTAATGTGTTTTTATTATTATTATATTGGTTGTTATGGGTTAGTATGTCCATTTGTGTGTCGGACGGGGAAACGGCAGGAAGGTCAGGCTCCGACTGACCAGTCACAATGTTATCAACGGGGCCGTCACAGACTTGATTGTGAACCTGGCGTTGAGTGCACCGCTCAATGAGCTTCCCTGCCGCGTACATACAACCGCCATAAGCATAACGGATGAGGGAGTCGCTAGTGAGGCTGCCGATGATAAAGACATCCTTGGCTACCTCGAGGTCGTGCATGGCCGCTGACTTGAGGGTATCCTTAGCAATTGACGCATCATGGGATTGATCGAAGCTGGCACCGAGTATTTCACGTTGAAGGTGGTAGTCAAGATAGGTTAACGAGCCCTTTCGGCCCACGGCGTATGATAGACCGGAAATGCGGCGGGTGATGGTAGAGCTGTCACTGCGGCGAAAGGTGACGATACCTTCTGTGCCATCGACTGCCACATCCACGACAAGAGTGTTTGGTAGGGCTTCATATATATCATCCCAGTTCCGGCTAGTGAGAAAGGTGGGAAGAGAGGCCTGGTTCCGCTTGTTTGGCTTGGGGGAGGTGAATTTGGCTAGTGTGCTACGCTTCATGAGCTTATAGATGCCGGCATATTCAGGGTAAGCTTGCTGATGGCAACTTCTAAGCGGAGAGGGGCTTGATTCTGGTTCCCATTTGAAGATGTGAATGATCTTCTGGTGAGGGTGAGCAGAGATGATGATATCAGCTGCCGAGAAGCCAGAGCCTATGACAAGCAGGGGTGCTTTCTCTGTCACAGGCAGGTCTGAGTGAGATGGAAGGGAGAGTAATGGCTGGAGGAGAGGTCTGGGTGGTTTGACTTCGGTGAAGATGCCTGATGCGAGTATAAGGTGTTTGCATTGTATATTGTGTGAGGCAATGTAGAAACCACTGTCTGTACGAGAGACGCCGGACACCGCCTGTCCATTCAGGATAGAGTTTCCGATACCAACAGCGGCTGGATATGCAGCCAGGTACTCTGCTATGGCCTGTCTAGACGGCCGGGTATAAGAGGGCATGTGGACGCCATGAGCGGCGTAGTAGTGGTCATAGAAACTATAACCCGGCAACGAGAGCATCCCCGCGTAGCTGAGAGACTGGATGTCCCAGGTGGTTCCAGGCGGGCATTCTGTCCACTGGCCACCGGGCTGGGGCGCATCACCGAGGCAGAGATGGGGCACCGCACGCTCGGGGTCGTGGTGCCAGGAGATGCAGGATGCCGACTCACGGTCGTCAGTCTCGCCAAACGGCCGGACGAGTGAGTCAACCAGCGAGTTTATAGGCAGGGATTGAGTCGAGTAGGAGAAGCGAGATGCCTCGAAGTGGCTGGTCAGATGGGCAACATCGAGCTGGAGCAGTTCCGTAGCATCCTTTAGCTTTGCATGCAGTATCGGATCAGGATGAGGTGAGTCGAGATTGTAGTAGGGGACGTTGCCGTGCAGGATGTAGGATAGAATCAGTGCAGATGGCCCGTTGCCTGTAGTCCTTGTCAGTTTGCTGGTCTACTTAACTGCCTAATATAAGTAACAAAAGAAGGAGAGGAAGAAGAAGAAGAAGAAGAAAACAGTGCACAGCCCACCACTTACCCACGATGACTGCGTCGATTAATGACGAATCTGACCGTCGCCCGTCCATGATAAAAACAGAATCGGAATCGGAATCAGGACAGCAGGCTAAGGGTTCTCCCAGTTCAGGTTGTGAGGGAGAAGGAGAATCGTTGCTGGCAGGAGAGTGGTATATCCTGCGGCCGTAGAGCCACCCGCATTTCCTGATAGTTAACTAGCTCGAGCAGCAGCGGGCGGGCACTATAGCCGAGAGAGAGAGAGAGAGAGAGAGAGAGAGAGAGAGGAGAGTGTTTCGGCCGGTCCGTCCGTCGAGTGTTTTTTGTGCTGGCTCGAAGCCGAAGCTGTGATGCAGCTATGATTGGGATATAGATCTATAACTGGTTTATGCCGGTGGTTAACAGGCCCTCCGCCACGGCTGCATAACTAACTAGTTAGTTAGTTAACCAGTTATCAACGGACGAAAGAAACGTCAGGCGCCCGCTGCAGTGCGCTCGACTGAAGGATCCTGCATCGCCGTCCCGTCCCTCTGATTATAAATCCATGTACTCCGTAGAGCAGAGGGGGAGGAAAAATCTGCGGACGAGTTCTCTTCGTTAAGTTAACTAGTTTTTCCCGCGATGCGCCGAGGGGCAAAAACCCCGAAAAGTGCTGACAAATTCGTCCGTCTCTCTCTTTTCTTTTCTTTTTTTCGTTTTATCCTCTTCGTCATTTTGGTTATTTATATATGTGTATCTGCTGGGCCCGTGAGTTTGAGGCTAAGGGGAGGAGGAAAGGCTGCTCTCGGACGCTGGCCGTGATGTGGTGGTGGTGGTGGTGACAGGGAGCCGTTGGAGTTGGAGTTGCAGCCTGACAGTTAAATAACTAACAGGTAGTTAGTTAAATAACTAAAAGAGCGGCTCTGCTGGAAGATCATGGTTGGCCGCCTGGACTGACGTTGATTCGGTCGAGTTGGTGATCGATGATTTCTTTTTATTTTTTTTTTTTTTTTTACCACTTCCCCCGGCGGAGTAAACAACACAGGAAAGGAGGCACCAGCCTTGAAAGATGGATGAAACCATGAACCTAGTTAGGCTACAAAAGTGAGCCCACACTAGTGGTCAAACAGGATGACGAAGTGATATCGATATCTTCCGATTGTTTGTTTTATGTATAACAACTTGTTGTCCTGTTACCTGCCCCAGGGTCTTCCCCGAGAGGTCTCGACGCTGCCAAAGTATACCATACTCACCCTTAGGGTAGGCCCTGGCTCCCAGTACGAGTATATTGACGGTGTGGAGTTGCTAGAAAGATACCTGCCTGGGGGTTACCACCCAATATCAGTTGGAGACCTTCTCAACAACCGCTATCGGGTTGTTCCCAAGCTCGGCCATGGAACATTCTCCACTATCTGGCTTTCATGCGACGAACAGCAGGCTGCATACGTGGCTGTCAAAGTGAGCGCAGCGGATTCAACTCCTCGCGACGCTGACGTTCTGCGTACCATCGCAGCCTCGTCTTCCTACCTTGATCATCCAGGCCGGACTATGATCCCTACAGTCAAGGACCAGTTCGAACTCCAGGGCCCAAACGGATGTCATAGATGCTATGTAATGACTCCAGCACGATGCAGTCTATCGGAAGCAACTCTATTTCGCCTCTTTACGATCGAGACGGCACGCTCTCTTGTTGCTCAGTTAGTGCTGGCTGTTGCCTATACTCATAACCAGGGGTTTGTTCATGGAAGTTAGCAAGCTACAAAACTTATCCGGGAGCCTGGAATTATTGACTAATTCTCCGATGTAGGTATTCACCTGGGAAATGCTTTACTCCGACTGCCGTCTAGCCTCAATCAGCTCTCGGTAGAGCAGTTGTATGAAAAGTTCGGCACACCCTATGTAGAGCCGATTGTGCGCCACGATAAGGACCCCCTTCCTGCTGGTGTCCCGCCCCACGCAACACTACCCGTCTGGCTGGGAAAATGGGCGAACGAAATCCGGCCCACGGAAGCGCGTCTCATCCTGGGCGACTTCGGTGAAGCCTTTTTTTTACCACTGGAGGCCTGTCAACAGCGACTGGGCGAGCAATGTCGATCACCTACGGCTTTCTTACCACCGGAAGCACATTTCGAACCAGAAAAGACCATCTCGTTTCCTTCTGATATCTGGACACTCGCATGCGCTATATGGTCGATTCTGGGTTTCAGTGATCTTTTCGAAAGCATGCTGGCTACAAGTGATGACATCTCCAAGCAGCAGATAGATATCCTTGGAGAGTTGCCGCATGAGTGGCGGACCGCATGGAGGCTCGTCCTAGATGTTTTGACGAAGTAGGCCGGCCGAAGAAGGGGCGGGTATGTTTACCCTCTCATTTGAGTGTCAATTCGAGGAATTAGTACGCCGTCGGGAGGATGGCATGGGTGAATTTGAGGCTGACGAGGTCCTGGCTTTGCTTTGACATGATCCACCCAATGCTCGCATTTAGGCCGGAGCAGCGGCCACGATAGAAGCTGTCCTCGCTTCGGACTGGGATGGTAACCCTGGGGCTTGCGGGAGTTCCAAAAGCTTCACCTGTATAGTTAACTGGTGGTTTATCTGTATGAATATCTGTACTTATATTGGAGTTATTGGACTGGGGGTGTTCTGTTCAGCTTGCAAGTGGAATATAACAAAAAGACTCTATTAGAGAGGCAACTCACGCAGAAGACGATGTTAATTCAGCTTATCTATCCTCCGTGGATATTGTTGGTCCCTTCATAGCTGTAGATGTGTACATATAACTACCTATTCGTGCAGCTGGTTAACTTAGGTACCTAGGCTATTAGGTTATTTAGTTAAGTAACCTGGGTGGATCTACTCCCTAAGTGGTTATTTAACTAGGTTGGCGATGGAGGCTTGCGACGTCTCGGTTTCTTCACCACAACATATAACTACCTAGTACTTATCTAGTAACTAGCAGACAGCGATAACCAACAACAGCGCATCGCAGGAGGACAGCTTATGCCGTCTCGGCCGCCTTAACTAGTCTCCAGAGCTCTCTTGACATCCTACGGCATGTTTGTAGGGGTTGCTGGCGTCCGCAATCATGTTCCATCTCGCAAAGTCGCTTTACCAGTACGCTACAAGCAAAGAAGGTCGGCATCGAACATACAAACAAACATCTTGGTGAAGCAGGGGGGGAAATTCATGCTAACAGTCTGCGGATATACAGAGTACTCAATTTTGCTGCTCGGCCTCGATAACGCGGGCAAGACGACGCTTCTATCGCAGATCAAGGCGCTCTACATCCCACCTACCGACGGACAGACACAGCAGGTCTCTGCAAAGACGGTGCCAACGGTGGGACAGAATGTCTCTACCATCTCGTTACCGGACATGTACTTGAAGATATGGGACATCGGGGGCCAGATCTCCATGCGCGGCCTCTGGCAGAGCTACTATTCCAGCTGTCACGCCATCATCTTCGTGGTTGACAGCGCGGACGTGGGGGATGACCCGGATGTCTCTGACCTTGCCCCGTTGGCTACACCTAGAGATGGCAGCGAAGTGGACATAACTGCTGACGACGGTGGTGAGGGCGGTGATGGTGCATCACTGACAGACGGTGCGCTCGAGATACAGAAGATTGAGTCAATTGATCATGCCGGGCGGTTTGGCAGGTTGGACGAGTGTCGGCAGGTTCTTGAGTCTGTCCTCCGGCACGCGGACACAGCCGGTGTACCTATTCTTGTGCTGGCCAACAAGCAAGACAGAGAAGACTGTGTTGAGGTCGTCCGTATCAAAGAAGGCTTCGTTCGTAAGGTCTTTGAGGGCCAGGAAGGAGGCGGCGTACGGGACAGCAGGGTGCTCCCTGTCAGCGCCCTTACGGGGACTGGTGTCCAGGAGGCCGTTGACTGGGTCAGGAGTCGTGTAAAGTGGAATAAGGAAGGCCGGCCGCCCGTCATGAGGTAGCTGATCTAATATCCACAGTTGGAGGTTGAGGATTTACTTTTACTAGTATCTGATGCGAATATACGGCTGACTGCATATACCCGGCGTTTTGTTGATTTACCTCGATTTTAATATTATCGTCATTATCATTAACTATTGCTGAATAGAGTGGACGTCAATAACTGCCAGAATATCTCAATATCAGCGCAGTTTCATGTTACTCTGTCGGCCTTGCGTATAAAGGGGTATCGCGAAATTAAGGATATCGTAAAATATGAACACCAACAGCTCAGTCAAATCATTTCCTGCCATGTCTCATTGTGTCGAGGATGCCGAGCATTGCCTACCGGTTGGCGAGCATCGAGTATCTGGCCACCGCCTCTACCAGCCGGTTTCTTCGGCCAGTCTCGTGCGACGTCGATGCTACTGCGTGGCATCCACAGCTCGAGGAAAACATAGAGCAGAAAGTCGATCACAACGCAGAGACAGAACAGCTTTCCGGCCCAGATCCCACAACCGTAGTACCGCTTCAGCCGGTCAATGAGCGCAAAACTGTGCTCTCGTCTGCGCGACCCTGTCCAACTCTCCTTGGGGAAATTGCCGTAGAACTCTTCCTCACTGATGGCGCCACAGATCCCATCATAGACGCGTTCAGTACGTCGCGCGACATCAGTCCATGAGTACATCATTCGGACCTGGTCGTGGAACCTCTCCGTGCGCACCTTGTTCGACCGCAAGGCAGCAATCGCCTTTCCCGTTGCTTGCACTAGGTCATCCTCTTCTGGCTTTGCAAAGGTTGTCATATGCTGGGGGAGAACCTCGGGGATACCACCAACACGGGTGCAGACAATGTACAGCCCACAGCTGGCAGCCTCTACGATCACGGTGCCAAAAGCCTCTGTCAGGCTGGGATGAAGGTATATGTGGCCCTTGATCATCACATTGCGCACGTCTTCGTGCTTGATCGGGCCAAGGAGCTCTACCTTGTCCTGAAGCACTTTTCTCTCGAGCATTTGTTCCAGGTCAATAGCCTTTGGCCCAGATCCGCCAATAATGAACCGTACGTTTTTATTGAGCGCAAGTATCCGTGGTATTGCTGCTATCAGTAAGTCTGTTCCTTTGTTGTAGAAGAGGCGTGATATCACCACGATCGTTATCGTGTCGTCGGGACCAAGGAGACGGGGTCCAGGCATTCTATGAACCAACGGGCGGTTGTTTAACGAGCCACTCACGGACCCAGTGTATGAGGGTGGACGGAAGTTCTCTGCTACCAGAGCATTTGGGATCACGGAGACCATCATAGGGTCGAGAGACGCTCTCAGTACGGTGTTCTCCTTGCTGTAGGATGAATTAGCAAGATGGACGCAAGCACACAAAGGACAGTCGATCGTACCAAGTATGGCTGACGCATATAACATGATCCACATCGCTAAGTGTGAACTTGAGTACCTTGTTTGCAAGGATCGAACTAGCGTCTGCAAATCCAAAGAGGGAGTGGTCGGTGAAGACGGTGCGTAGGCCCATTGTCCGACCGTGAAGGATGGCTTCATGACAGAAACAGCTCAAGCTACCATGTCCATGCACTATCTCGATTTGTTCTCGGATCATGATGTTCCTGAATATTGGGAAGAAGGAGAAGACTGTTGGCATAGCGGATTCGCGGTAGATGACGAAGAAGGGAACATGGTAGACCTTGAGGCCATTGGTTAGGTAACGCACTCCGGTCCGGCCTTTGTACGCATGGGTCACAATGATCACCTTGTGTCCGCGGTCGATGAGTTTCTATATCCACCAGGTTAGACACCCAACTCTCGAAATAGTAAGTTATAGGGTTGAACCAGCTCTCAACTCACTGAAGAGACTTGATATATGTGACTTTCCACTCCGCCTACAACTTTTCGTTAAAGGGAGAAGCCAAAACAAAATGTCTCATCATTCAATGGCCATACCCGGCTGAGGGAAGAAAAAATCACTTATCATGCTGCGTGCCGTATTCAGATAGTCAGCGGGAGTTGCAAGGTAACTACCTAGGTAGAGAGCGCAGTTATAGCATAACTTACGCAATATTGTAAGGCATGATGAACACGTAGAAAGCTCACAGAGCAAGCCCCGCGCAAAAGGGTCTATCCCTGCCTGAGAACGGTAGCATCAAGCTTGATAATCCTCTTCCTCTTCCTCCTCGCGCGCTTCTATCAAATTATCAAAATATCACGTCTTTTCGTCTTTTTTCAACCTCCTGAAGGTGGAAGAAAGTCCACCACGTGATTCTGAGCTTATATAATCTTCATGTTGAGGCTTAAAAAAAAGAAAAGGTAAAAATAAAAATAAAATCAAAACTTCAGAAAGAACCGAAAAAAGAAGAGAGAGTAAAGAGAAGAAAAGAAGACCGAGGAAGAGGCTGAGGAAGAGCTGTAGCTATAGGATAGCCCATACTCAACGGGCTTGATCACTTGTGGTCTGACAGCACTGGAGATGGCGGGCATCGCGCACCGAGCAAACGATTCATCGCCAGCTACTCGCAAACGGAAGCGCCATGAGGACAGCTCGGATAGGCCGCAGAGTGTCGAGAAGGGCAGTAGGAAGAAGAAGAGTTCTACTGCCGAGTTATCTCAGAAAGGAGTCGGAGAAAGGTCTACCAGCCCAAAGACAAGTTCGGAAGCGTGGGCGGCGAGTAATGGGCATTCGGTCCTTCGGGAGGAAGCAGAGGACAAGACGGCCCTTTCAGTGGAAGACAAACTTGATGGGAGAAACAAGAAGGAAAGCAGTAGAGGAATGGCAGACAGATCTGATAAGCAGACTCGAAAACATGAAGCTCGGGGTACAGCATCCACGCGAGATGGTACCGGACGCAAAGTGATATCAATTACCGATGAGGATGATGCAAAGACGAAAAGACATAAAAAGATTATGTCCAGGTACGAAAAAGCGAGGAGAAGTGCAGCAGACCAAGCTTTGCCTGATTTAAAAGAAAATGAACTGCCAGCGGGGGAGGCGAAAGAGGAAGCTCATGGCCTAGTGCCTTTGCCGCAACCTGCCCCTGCGCCCAGCGATTCTGCAGCACCATCTTATTCTACTCTTCCTCCATGGTTGGCAGCCCCCTCAAAGGCCTTGCCTGGGTTTCGATCAAGTTTTTCGAATCTGGGGTTGGGTGCAGACCTAGTTGACGTTCTCAAAGACAAGGGATACACAGAGGCTTTGCCGGTTCAGTCAGCAGTGATACCTCTGCTTGCAAAAGGACCTACAAGATACACCGGAGATATTTGTGTCTCGGCCGCCACTGGGTCAGGTAAAACTTTGGCATACGTTCTACCCCTTTTTGCTGGACTCAAACGTCTGCCCGTTGCCAAGCTACGGGCTGTGATTATTGTTCCTACGAGAGAGCTAGTCAAGCAGGTTCGTGATGCATGCGAACTCTGTGCTAGTGGCTCGGGGCTTCGAATTGGCACCGCCGTGGGCTCAACTGCTCTAAAGGATGAGCAGACTCAGATCATGAAGCAGACTCGCATGTACAGGCCGGAAAGCACCGGGAGCCAGTGTGACAGGGAGATGACAGCAGATGAATGGGCCTCTTTCAGCCTGACAGACTATATTGCTGAAGCAGAGGAGTACAGCAAGACATTACCAGACCATGTTATAGAATGGTCTCCTTGTGTCGATATACTGATATGCACTCCTGGCAGACTTGTTGACCATATCCGGTCTACCAAAGGATTTATACTGGACTCTCTTGAATGGCTGATCATTGATGAAGCTGACCGGTTGCTCAACGAGAGCTTTCAGGAGTGGGTAGAGACTGTTCTGCCTGCCTTGGATACAAAGGAGCAATCTACCACCACCGGCCCACTACAACAACTAACGAAGGGATTCAGCTTTCCACTAGGGTCCCGGAATCTTCAGAAGGTTATACTTAGTGCGACCATGACTCGAGATATAACGAAGCTGAATTCACTGCGACTACATAATCCTAAACTTGTTGTTGTTGATGGTGCAGACATGAACGATGCCACGAGAAATGGAGAGACAGGGCCAGATAGTAATATCACCCTACCATCACTCCTAGATGAAAGTTTGATACCTGTAGGCGATGGGTCCGAAAAGCCTCTCTACCTGTTGAAGTTGCTGCAGACACATATCGGCATGGCCGTTGAGGAGAAGACCAGGACGAAAACCAGACAGATGTCCGTCTCCTCAAACCCAGGTGACTCCAGTGACTCTAGTAGTCTATCAGAGGACTCTATATCCTCCTCATCTGCCTCCACATCTTCATCATCATCAGATGATGATGACTCGTCTGATTCTAGTTCAGATTCAGATTCAGAATCGTCTGTAAGCGGCGACTCATCCACCGGGAACGAACGAAATAACACACCTCGTTCAGTCCTCATATTCACAAAATCATCAGAGGCAGCATCGCGACTATCACGTCTGCTTGCCCTCATGTATCCATATCTGGACGGAAAGGTTGGAACTCTCATCAAATCCAACAAATCCAGCACCTCACGGAGGGCTATCTCAGGTTTTCAAAAGGGGAAAATACAAATCATCGTTGCAACAGATCGTGCCTCTCGTGGCTTGGATCTTCCTCTGTTAGACAATATCATCAACTATGACATTCCCAACAGCTTGACAACATATGTTCATAGAGTTGGCCGTACTGCCAGAGCCGGCAGGCCTGGTTCTGCCTGGAGTCTGGTGACCCATAGCGAGGGTAGGTGGTTTACAAACGATATCGCTAGAGGAAGTGTGAACAGGGCTGCTGGCAAGACGATCAAGCGGGTGGCCATGAAACTGGACGATAGGGGCATGGCTGACTTGCGGGAAAGATACGGCAAGGCTTTGAAACAGTTGGAGGCTGAGGTAGTGGGTTTCCGAAAGGGAGTAGACAAAGAGAGGCCAGCTAGAGCAGCCCCTTAATTGAACCGTTGTCGTCCAAAAAAAAATAGATATCATCATCTAAGGTTAATGAGTAGAACTGATAACGTCGGCAAAGAGGCATTTCTCATCCCATGAGCTGGAGCTGGTCATCCGGTGGCCATCTGACTTGGGCGAAGGTCAGGCATCGTTTGATGCTCTGGAGGAACTTGCGCGTAATCTCATCGCTCATGATATGGGCCTGTCCCTTGCCTCCTTCGTGTAGTTTTTCTCGAGCAGAACGTTCGTGAATACCAACCATGGTGACACCAATAGGCCAGGCTCTATCAATGTAGTTAGCATTAGACCCTTTACCAGTTAAAAGGACCATTCGGACTCTACTCACGCTTTGCCGATACTCAGTGTAAGATACCCGTCATTAGCATCAACATATCGTCGGTTCTGGGCATTTCTGACAATCTCAACGACGGGCTCGAGGATGCCATCCTCTATATCTCCGTTCTCGAACTTCTTGAACAGAGGCCGCATGTTCTCCCGCGACTGTACCATAGCGTTGTAAGCCTGTTTGCCCTGAAAGGTCTGCTTGACAGCATCATCTCTCTGGGCCAGGGCAACCTCCCATTCCTTGAGGACGAGGGTGAAGTATGAGGCCAGTTGTCTGAAGAGGTATCGTTTCCCTTCTTTGTCTGCAGGCAGCTTGTCGGGCACCTTCATGTCCGCCTCTGGCACCAGCTCCAGGGTGGTAGGAATGGGCCCATCCGTAAGCTTCTTCTTATTCTGCTGCTCCGGGTTGACGAGGTTTCTGTATCTCTTCAGTCTCCCTTTGTGGCTCTCTCCAAAGAGCCGCGCCGGCTCCCCCAGCTCTCGCAGCTTTCCAATCAGCTCACCATCGTCGAGATCCTCACCAGCCTCCGCGGTTGTCTCTTCCTTTTCGCTGCTGACGTCTCTATCGGCCAGTCCCTGGCGCTTGCGGCGCTCTTTTTCTCGCGCGTCTTCCTCCGCTTCTCGTCGTGCCCTTGACTCTTCGGCCAGCCGTCTTCGTTTCTCCTCCCGCCGGCGATTCTGCTCCGCCTCTTCTTCATCTCGCCTCCGCTTCAGCTCGGCTCGCTCTTCTCGTTCTCGCTGCAGCTTCTCTTGCTCTGCATTATACGCTGCCACGCGAGCTGCCTCGACATCTGACCGTTTGGTGTATTTCTTCTCCGTGCTGTCCGACTTGGCCTTGGATATCTCCTTTGACATAAGAGATGCAAAATCCATCGTTACCTAGTCACCGTAGCGCTCTTGACTCTGGTGGGTAGTCGTCCGTCTGGTATATCTCAAGTTGGAGGTCGTTGGCTGTCTGATGGTCGTTCGTCGCTAGCTTTTCTTTTTCACCTAGTTATTTACATCACTTCCTGAGGCTTAACCCTAAGCTTACCCTAATGAGAAGGGTAGTACTTGGGCATTAAGCCGAGTGTAGCTTGTTTCTATATATAAAATAATTACTGTATCTACTAGTATTAATAACCGATAGGGAAGGGTGAAATATGGACAATCAGTTATTTGACTGAGAGGTTCTTCGGTCGTGAGAACCTCAGGCCTTAGTTAGAGGCTGGCGAACGGTACAAGAACTAACTACAGCCTCACAAAAGCTCTACTCGTTATTTCACTAGCTTTGACGCGCTGTTTCAACACATATATCTGCATATACTGGCCTCCTCGCTATACAAATCCTTTGGCTAATCTATATACTCATTCGCTGACTGAGGAACCTCTGAGAAACGCGTACCCATCATGGCTTCAGCAGATGAAGCCCTCAAAGTTGACCGCGAGAAGACAACACCGTTCCATCTGAAGCTGTTCTACCGCCAGAACTCCTTTCATTCACTCTCAGACTTTCCTATCCTATCCGCGCCATCCACAGCTGAGAATGGAACAGCTCCCAACCCTCCACTGCCTCCGCACCTTCAGATATACACCTGGCAGTCGTGCTCACTGCGGGAGCTGGCGCATCTGCTCACCTCAACACTACCAGCTCTGCTTCCCGACCCAGCCGTAGGGACACGCTTGAGCTTCCGGCTAGTTTACCCCGACACAAGGAGCCAGCCTGGCGGTCGACCGAGCGACGCGGGAGATGGACGCGGGAAATATATCAGCAAGGATATAGGAAGCGTGATTGTAAAGCCGAAGAAGGATGAAGATGCAGGCGAAGGGATAACTCTTGAAGGTGACGAGGCGGATAAGGTACTCCATGACGTGCGGTTCGTTATTGGAGACTACATTGACTGTGCTATACTGCCGCCTCTCGCTGACGGGTCCGTGGCTCCCCCATTACCCTCTCGTGGACCGCCTACCTCCGCAATAGGAGGGGGCATGCGAGCGTTTGGAGGAGGGCCATTTTCACGAGACTCTGGGTTTTCAAGGCCAAGGCATGGGCCTGGGAGAAGTGGAGGAGTAATGTCTGGTGCGAACCCAGCCAGCGTACCTAGCGGAGAGTGGAGGAGAGGAGAAAGGCTACCAGATAGCAGTGGACGTGTATACGGTAGGGGGCTACGAGACGGGGGCCGGCCTTATTAACCGGCGAGACATGCTTCTTTACCTCTGTAGCCTGCGAGATCATCAACATTTTACTGGAGATTTATGAAGGCAAAGGATTTCAACATGCATGCCCCTTGGTATATTCACAATCGCAGATTCGTAACACTTGCTTGTGTGCTTCGATGACAGTCATATGCAGAGGCAAAAGCGCATAACCAGATACTGATATGGCTGATGTTCAACAGTATTGCTATTATACAGTGACAAAAAGAGACACATCGACAGCTAGTACACGTCAGAGTCCCTCATCATCTGGCTCGAAATATATGCTGGATGCCACTTGAAACAGACAATCCACTGTAACAAGGCATGTCCACTTTGACGTCCCTAATTCCTCAAAACTCCGCGATAGTATCTCCCCTTCTCTTCCCCCGGAAGTTGTATTTACCCTAACGCAGTCGGGTCAAGTTAGCGCCATGCTGTAACTGGGTATGAATATGGTAGAAATGTAGCACCCACATCTGTCTTGTAGGAGATGTAGCCGACGATGCCAGGGATGACAGCCATGTAGCAGAGTGAGAGCCAGGCAGTGCGCGGCGTCCATCTAAAATACTTGTAGCGGTTCTTGTGTGTGTCTAGCCAAATGTTAACATGTAAACTATTGAATAACCAGCTGTCAACAGCATCGAATGTTGTGGATCGATCGAAACCGATGGGTCGGAGGGTGCTGACCGTAGTACTTCTGCAGCGCAGGGTCAAGGTGAAGATCTATCAATTGAGTTAGTTAAATGACCCCTGGGGCAAGGAGCATTTCCGGCATTAACTTACTCGACGGTCCCGCCATGCTTGCTGTCTTCTTTGCTGTCGCTTTTCTCGATCTTCTGCGTCTTCGTCTTTTTTGTTTGACGTTGAAGTTCGGCTTTTTCTTGGCGCAATTTGCCGCGTTAAGCGCCTTGGCGGCTAACTAGAAAGGAAAAAAAGACAAAAACGACGACGACGATGAGGAAGAAGATGAAGACGATGGTAATAAAAAAAGGGATAGGAAGAGGATGTCGCTCTACTATGAAGCTGCAGATGTTCTCAGTGGGCCCTCTCACACCGGTTCCCTCAAGTCGAGAGTGTATAGTGGCAAGTGGAAGTCTCCTGCAGCGCAGATTTATGCGCTGATAGTTGAAGTCGCAAAATATAATGAGTGCATCACGGAGGTAATTGACAGTGCGGGCATCCTGGCACACGAGCCAAAGGTCAGTCGGATCTAGTAATTTGCGTTTATCACTTCAATTGGATACACAATTAACGAGAACAAGGTGATGTGAGCAGTTAACTCCTATTCTGTCACTTCTCCTCGTCTATGACTTTCTGCTGTCTAAAAGAGGCATCGCAGCGCCATCGAATCACCCCCTGCGTCTAGCAGTAGAGCGCCACAAGTCTCGTATTAATGCAGAACTTACGAAGCTGCGAATCCGTCGAGGATGCGCGTCGAAGGAGGAATTGAAGCAAAAGCTGCTGCAGGACAAGCAAGCTACGGAGACATTCTCGCCAAGATGGATACGAATAAATAATGCACTGACAAGGCTGGATCGTGAGATGGGGAGTACTTTTGCTGGGTATGGGCCTGTGAGTTCGTTGTCTGAGCTTGCGGAGGCCACGGCGGATGAGAAGAAGAAGTACTACTTGGACGAACACATCCCGGACCTTTTGGCGATCAGCCGTGACATCGACATCACTTCCTCACCTGCATATAAGGAAGGAAGGCTTATACTCCAGGACAAAGCCTCTTGTTTTCCTGCCTATTTGCTACTGGGTGACCATCCAGAGCAATGGGATGGTGATCTGATTGATGGTTGTGCTGCCCCGGGAAACAAAACAACCCATCTTGCTTCGTTACTCTCTTCTACCGCGAGGAAACAAAAAAAAAGAATATTTTCGCTAGATGCATCTCGCTCACGGTCCAAGATTCTACAGACCATGGTGAAAAAGGCCGGCGCGGATGACATGGTGACCGTCATGCCTGGGCAGGACTTCCTGGCCCTCGACCCGACAGACACTCGATTCCAGCATGTTACTGCTCTTTTGCTTGACCCTAGCTGTTCGGGTAGTGGGATCACAAAACGTGAAGATGTTCCACAACTCAGCCTGCCCAAGTCAAAGTCTGAACTTGCGTCAACTACTACATCTGGCTGCAAGGGAGTGAAGAACCGGAAGAGGAAACGCGAGACTCCAGTGGATGCGTCTTCCACCGCCAACCCTCCAACAACAGGAGAAAAAGAAGATGGGAGTGAACGGCTGGCGAAGCTTGCTAACCTGCAGAGTCAGATAGTCGAGCATGCCTTTAGCTTCCCAGCTGCCACCCGGGTCACTTACAGCACCTGCTCGATACACCAGGAGGAGAACGAGGACGTAGTTGCTCGTGTGCTAGCCTCATCGGTTTCTCAACGTCGTGGCTGGAGACTTGAGCTTCGGTCTGAGCAGGCAAGGGGGCTTCAGAAGTGGCATCACCGCGGGATACTCTCCGGTGATTCCTTGGAGAGCTTACCCCTGCTGTCCTCTGATCAGGTGGAGGCTTGTATTCGATGTTGGCCTGCAGGAGATGAAGGCACCGGGGGGTTCTTTGTAGCTATCTTTGTGCGGGACGAAATTGGAGGCGAAGAGGAAGAACAGGAACAAGAAGAAGCTTATACTGAAGAATATGACGACGTTTGGGAAGGTTTTAGTTCTAGCTAAAACAGTAGTATCTTCAATATCAACATGGTCAATATATGCTGTCAATTGAATCATATTGGCATGTTTTGAAACAAGCATTATAATACGAGCCAGAGTGTCTCAGAGCCAACACACTAGATCTTGAGCCTCTCACATATACAACCTGTTACTTCTACTACAAACCCTACTAATCTGCTTTTACTCTTATTACTCCGTACAGCTATTTGTTACCACCGCTGCTACTGTTACTGTAATATGGACTCGTTTACTTTCCGCATGCAGCCGCCAGCACCAGGAATGACTGACCTCAATGACGACAAACAACCACGATACCCCGTCTTCGAAGATGGACTACAAGTTCGCATGACAGTTTTCGTGGATGAGCAGAATTGTGCTCCAGAGAATGAGGTTGACGCCGACGACGACCGGAGCTGGCATTGGGTTGCGTATGCTTACGATGCTGATGCTGGCGGCAAAGCTGTAGGCGTGGTTCGTCTCGTCCCGCCACCGCATGAAGAGGGCCACTACCACCACCACCAGCATGGGAGCGGAAAGCCGTTTGCCAAGATCGGCCGTTTGGCTGTTCTGGCTGCGTATCGAGGCAAAGGGCTTGCTCGAAGACTGGTCGAGATGGCGCTGAGATGGGGGGTTGAGCATAGGTTGGACGTAGGTGGTGGATGGGGGGGATTGGTGTTGGTACATGCGCAGACGGATGTCGAGGCGATGTATGCCCGGCTGGGCTTCGAGACGGACAAGAGTCTAGGACAGTGGGATGAAGAAGGGATTCAGCATGTTGGGATGTGGAAGACGCTAGAGTTATGATTCTACAGGGTCTACGGATCAGGACACTGGGGTTGGATATGGGTAAATTTGTTTGATTCGGGCCCAGGCAAGACGGCCGTATGCACGGTAACGAAATGATAAAAAAACAGATGGTAGAAGAAAAAGAAGATAGACAAGGAGAAATGAAATCTATATGCATGGAGGACCGGGGAACCTCGTTCAGACAGCCGTAATCAAAAAAGAAAAGCATAATGAGCTAAACAAACACGCGGTTATCATCCTGGATGGAACATGTAGGCCATGAGAGCAAAGACGAAAGTAGAAGACAAAGATGAGAGAGCAATGGGCCGAGAGAGCCAAGCCAAGTCAAGTACTCCGTAATGTGGTAGACTTGAGACCACGGCAAGGGGGGTATCAATTGTAACAGAAAAGAAGAGGGTAGGTGGGGGAGGTAATGCATAAAGCAGTGAGTCTGGGCTAGAAGGTGCTCCAGCTCCAGTCTCTGGGCACGCTGGTGGCAATCATGCCGTCCTGGTGCTCGTCTGAATCAGCGTCTGGGTCGGCAATACTGAGCCGGTCAGCCTCGATGGCCCATCCCTGGCTGCGCTCAGGGGCGTTGAGGTTGGCGAGTAGGTTATGCTGGATCTGGTTGAGTCGATCGGCGCGGGCCTGCTCCCAGCGGCGGTAGGCGGCCCAGCAGAGGTCACAGCTGCGTGAGGGGATACCGTCCGGGTGGAATCTGGCGTTCTGGTCGAGTGGAATGGTGTAGGGGGTATGGGAGGAGCAAAAGACGTGGCCGCAGTGACGGCAGTGGTGGCGACGAACGAAGATGCCGAAGAACGACTTGCACACTGGCGAGTCGCAGGAGGGAGAAGCAGAGTCGGCCTATTAACTGTTAGCTGTCTCTTATACAATGACTCCATACCAATAGCTATATTTATACAAGTAAAACTGAGAAAGGAAGGGGGATAAGGGAGATAGAAATACCTTCCAGTGCTCCCTGGTAGGCGAGCCAGTGACCTCTCCGAGATTCTGATCCCGCAGCCACTCGTCCTGGGCGAGCCTGCTGACGCCGCTGCGAGTGCTGTCGACCGTCGACCGGCGAGACAGACGCTCCGTCGGCGTGATGCTGCCATCCTGCCCGTCCTGCCCGTCGACTGAGCCGTGGACGCTGCGCGGCGGCGTGAGAGGTGACGGCTTTGGTGCCCGCTCGGTTCGACGCAGGGCCGCGGGAACGTACAGCGGCGACTTGAGCGGCCGCAGCTGGCGCGACTGCGACTTGGCTCTGGAGGTGCTGAAGCTGAGGCTGCGCGCTCATCGGCCCCGGCGAGGAGGGCGAGTGGTTTGTAGGAGTTGCGGAGCCCGAATTGGCTGGGGATGGCTGGCCATCAGGGAGGAGACAGGCCGCGAGGCGGAAGGATTGGCGGCGACACTTGCATCGACGGCTGTCC